TATAAATCCATTCAAAAGTTGTTTGCCCACCTTTTTATTTATGGACCAACCCTAAAAATAAGCTAAAAAACCTTACTCAATGCTAAATCAAGTGAGCAACAGCCGAATGCATGGTAAAACAGTGCGTTACCAAAGTGTAAGGACAGAAAGACAGTAATTATTATATAAAAGGTTTTTCCTGTAGTAGCTTTTTTCAGTGTGTAACTTGAATAAGGAAAATGGAATTATTTGCAGTCATATTTATATGATTTATATATTCCAAAAACATTTTCCTACCAAAACCCACTGTTCTTGACTTGACTTTGTAGACAACTTTTCTCGATTACTCAATAGCAAAATATTTTGTCTAAAAAAAAGAATTCAACAAAAAATTATACATGCACGAACGACTTGCCTACAATAAAATCTCGTTTATGACATGCAAATAAAATGTAAATTTTAGTAGCCCAACAGTGACCGCACAAAATAGAAATAACAAAACGAAACGAAATAAAATTGTAAAAAAAAGATAAAAAAAAGTTGTAGGAGAGAACGAAGAGCACGAGATAAATAAAAACAAAAGCCGGCTGCAATAAATAAAATAAGAAGCAAAACAAAAACCCGAGATCGACTCGAGGCGGCAATAAAAATTTGTCGACTGTGTCAGCGATCAAAAGCGTTCAAAAAGCACGTGGGGGCGTAGCAAATAGCCAGATGGTGGCCGAAAGAGATGGGGAGAGCGGCAGCGAAAGAGACGGGCAGAGAGGCGGCAAAAGAGACGGCATGCGCTAGCAAGTGTGACGAATGAGCCAGCAGAACTGATGCACTGCACTTGCTGCTAATGAATGAAAACGAATGGCAGTTGAATGGAGCAGTGGAGCAATGGAGAAATGGAGTGAAAACAATTGACAGCCCCATAAAAGTCGTTGGAAAAGGGAGCGCAACTAAGTAATTATTACCAGCTATTTGGTGAAAAATGGCAGCAAATTAAAGGGGGATAAAAAATATATTACAATAATGATTAAAGATGGTTATTAATTTGATCTACCTATCAATGCAACATTACCCATTTTTTGTAATATTGTATATACTGCAAACGAAAGAGATAGTATAAAGAGCTTCTTTTTTACTATAAGAAATATCATTAGTTAGTGAGTTTATTATATAAATTAGTGCCAGAACAGCTGATCTTGAGCTGTCCGCTCAAGCGTGGAGAACTCTATTATGCAACCGCTCTAATAGCCAAGTTAATGCTATATAGTTGACCTGCTCGAACTGTCTGCTACAGATACCGTTACTTGGGCGACTGCACTACAATGACAACGTGAAAACCTGTTACACTTTTGACCAAGTTTTGTCCGCCTGCTGCTGAGTCATAGCAAAAATAATAAAAAAAAAAAAAAATGAAAAACAAAAAAAAAAAGCGGGCGTGCGACGATCTTGCTAATTGCTGGGGCGAGAAAAACGAGGGATTCGTGTGACTGACACCTGCGATTAGCTTTTAGCCCCCGCTCTTTTTACTGCCATCCCCCCCTCTCCCCCCGCCCTGCACTCCATAATCGGTGAACCGAATAATTTGCATGAAGCTTGGCTTAAACGTTTTACTCGGCTCAGAAAGCGAAAGAGATAGAAAACGAAGTTTGGGTCATTCACACGGCCGCCGGTTTTCGTTGCCGTTTGTTTATCTTTGGCTCTTTCATCTCGAGCTGTGAACTTGTCAGTTACAGCAAATTTGCATTGTGTTAACTTAAAATATTCAATTAACTCGTTTGCTTATTTTATTTAAGTCATTTGGAAATGTGCAAACTGGTACATGCATTTTTAGGAGCATTTTTTAGGATTATCGCGCCGCGTTTTTATTGCTTTTCAACAGCACCTATGCGAATAAAGCTAAGTACCTGAATTATAAATGCGAAAGTTAATTGGCAATTTATTTGCAATTTACATTCCAAAGGTATTACGCAAAACGAGATGATCTTATCTTGAGCACCTTATTTATACTTTTTTACGAGCTTCCATTCGGTTAATTTATCATCAAACCGATTGAAAGTAAAAGGTAACCTACATACAATATAATTTTAGTGAGCTCGACTTAACTTAAATAGGTTTTTCTATTGACGGACTTATCAAGGCGATCCGAGATAGAAAGAGATAGTACAAACTGTAGGCGGAATGGCAATTTTTTAAATCAACTTTAATTGAAATAAATTGTCATATCATTTGCCCTGGAAATGGAAATGGACTCAATTAGATGCGGGTCGTACAGACTCTACTCTATGCATAACTTTGCCTATATAGTACAAAATGTTGTCCATTTATTCTCTTTTTTTCCCCTGGAAAATTATACACAGCCATCAATCAAGGGGAGGGAAAATGAGAAATTGAAATATGACAAGAACCTATACAATCGGCGGAGGGATTGATGGCCACTCTGGGTAATGGAAAAAATGGAAAATCTACTTAAGAAATTGTCGGACACATGCCTACATCATACCAAAGACTAATTGAGTGAAAGTCATTTTGTGCATGAACATCATTTGAGATGCCAAACAGCCTTCAAAGCGCTGTAAACGCAAAATAAACATAATTAATAGCCGACATAAAGTCCGAAAGATGTAAAATCAGAGATATCAGAGAGCGGCATACAGTGCGTTTCATGATTTTAGGCTGAAGATGAAGTGAAAAGTTGTGATTATTATTATATGGTTTTCCAACGATCCATGTTTTATGACTTTTGGTATATTTTTTTGGGCTAAACCCATCGTAGGCTTACAATCTCGATGCGCAGTGTGTAAATGCTATAATCTGTTTGCGTTGAAATACCAAGACTTGACCAAAACTTTGCGGTTAACTGCGCACGCACAATGGACTTCCTCTGATCTCCCCATAAAAACCGCATCTGAAACACAATTTATGCCAGCCGAAGTCGACGTATAACAGTTTCATGCAATTTATGTGCAATTTTTCAATTGAAAAATCGGCGGAGGAGGCCAGGAAGGCTTTACTTAATGCGTCGCAATTTTGGTTTTTATTTTTTTATAAAGTTTTTCCTCTCAATCTGCGCTCGATGCGGATTTATTTCGCATGTGCAAAACGTTTCGGATTCAAGTTACTACTGCTACACACGATGACAGGCAGGCGAACTTTTAATTGCAATTAATTTGAGTGACATTTGCGAAATAAACTGAAACTAGAAATCGATTCGGGGCGGTGGCGACATTGGGCAATTACAAAAAATATATAAAATAATGCTTTTATCTAGAAAGTTGTCACTTTTTAGTTTGCTGTAAATCAAGTTAAACTTGAATAATGTGGATTTTAAAATGCATAGATAGGTAACTAAAATTGACGGAATAATTGCAGATAATTCTAAAAAGTTGAGCTAAATTCAGATACTTATTTTCAAAGCGGGTAATGCTGCATTTTTAGTGTTTTTTTTTTTTTCAACTGGGTCATTAGAGAACAATTCAACAGCCGAGACCATTAATTTTCTGCAAAAACAAACAGCGAAAAATACTCGTTCTGGCTTGAGCAAGCAAATTCAATGTCAAATCACCGGTCTGACATCATTAAAACCCATCGTTAACCACAAAAGCAGCTTCTTGTGCCATTCATCAAAATGTGGTCTATGTTTAGGCCAGGCTAACTTCCTTATCAATCATGCGACTTTAGAGTAGTTTTTCAACCATAGCATTTGCATATCAAACGTACCTGCAAAGAAAACAAAAGAAGACAAATGAAATAAATTAATAAAAATTGAAATTTATTCGCCGACGTGGGAAAATTTGCCAAAGATACAAGCAAAGCGCAGATATAAAAAAAAGTGATTCTTGTTAACACAATGAAGGTATCAAATGAACAGGCAATAAATTGAGACCAGATAATTATATAATGTCGTTGGCATTAAGACTGTATTGTATATTGTATGTGTATTCGATTTTAATGGGAAAAATGAGCAAGTGTTGGTGGGGAGCAGTGAAAATCCGAAATCCAAAAAGCCGCAAATCGACCCGCAGTTTTGGTTTGGCTATCAAATTACCCCCTCTTCCCCCCGCAAACAATTGTTCCGCATAAAAAAAGAAAAAAAATGAAACGAAAACGAAGACAAAGTCAATATTTGGCTCTAAGAGGAGTTTATTTTTCTTCTTTTTTTCTAGATTTGGGGAACCTCACACACACGTGTGACTACAACATTCGACATTATTTGTTGTCGTCTAAGCAAATAGGTAAACAAACAGAGACGGCAACAGCCGCTAGAAAGGGAGAGGTGTGTAAAACAGCGAGTTTGACTAATAAGGATTTTAGCGCGAGCCAAGATTCGGCTTAAATCGAGAGTAAAACACACAGCAACTGCGACTCTGGCTAAAAGAAAGGGCAAATAGTGGCTCAGAAAATACAGTGGCCACTGGTTAAATGTCGTACTATTGACTTGGTACGGCTATCGTATTACTCTTGCACTTTCTCTATGGGTAGAGAGGGAAACACTTCTTTAAAATCCAAATAAAATATCTAACAGCATAGGCTAATAGGAAAAGATAGTATTATATATAATCTCTTATTTAGTTATAAAAATTTTTTAAAGATATTACATATAACGATATTACGATATAACTTTATATACATAATAACGAATTTGAGCCACCATGAAATCAGCATTAAAACTGGTATATTTAGGAAACAATCATAATCGTATATTTTATTCTTATTGGCTAAATTTTAAATAGTTTCATTAAATAGAATTAAGGCCTTTAAAGTTATCTTCCGAGTTTGTAGGTCTAATTTTAAAAAAGTCAAAAATAAAACTGCGAGGGTATTCTTTATCCTATCACACTGCAGGTAACACTATAAGTGACCACTGTTGTTGGCACAAAATGCAACTTCAGACGGCAAACAAACAGCGTAATTGAGCTGCGTTTGCCATTCGTTGTTGCCAGGCGATTATATGATAAATGCGATTCGCGATGTTTGACAATGTTTGCTTTCACTGTAGTTTGACGATTGCTGGCGATATTTATGCTTACCGGATAATACATTCCTTGCGGAGGAAGGAAAAATGCCCCTGAGCCCCACAGTTTGACGGCTTTTTATGTTCACAGTGGCGTCGCAAATGATGTTGACTCCTCAGCCGTGTGTGTTTGCACCCAACTATTTCTCTGCGTGTACTTGCAGGGGGTTGGCCAAACAACAAGGGTAGTTCACTATTATTTCTTACACTTTATGCTCGGTTTGGCGAATATACCATTTGTTTTTTTTTTTTTGTTAAGATTTCTATTTGATTTGAATTTTATTTTGATTATTTTTCTTGGTTTTTGGCACAATTTTGTTTCTCCTTCTGATTTTTTATTTTATTTTTTGAAATACACTTTGATTTTGACTACAAGATACGTAAGTCAGAAATTAAAGAAAATAATAATAATTTGTTGGTTGGAACACGCTTTTGCACTTTATGGGAAATTATTTCCCCGCACACGCAAAACTAACATATATTTTTCAATGTCGCACGTGCGAGCGAGCGAGATGGCGCGCACCTAAGTGAAAGAGAGAAAAGAGCGAGCGAGAGGGCGCGACATGGTGCGATAAAGTACAAATTCTTGTTGAGTTGTTTTTATAGGGGTGGCTTTTATTTTGGCCTCCTGGGAAACTGACTGAACTGAACCGAACTGAACTGAAAACTCCCTGGATGTTTTAACTTTTTGAAACGAAAACAGAACCGAAACAGCAAGCCAAAGGGAAATGCGCAAAAAGACGGCGCAAACGCGAGACAAAAGAGATGATGCGAAAGAGGCGAGCAAGAGAAAACGAAGAGGGGGCGGCCAAAAAGCAGCAGACAGTCACAGTGAAAACTGCCTAAGTTTCCAAGCTTTATATGTTGGTCATATGTTATCAATTGCCATGTCTCACAAAGGTTTCAATTATTTGTCTAAGTTCATTGAATGCACTGAGCCGATTTTCAAGTTTAAGAACACTGCGACTATTTGTTTGTGTTATATTTTAGTTTGTAACTTTAAGTTGTTATTATTTTCCTATTGGTTTTGGAAGCAGAAACGCATCTATAAGCGTTTATAATTAAAATATCTTGTAATTGTCCAATTATTATTCGCCTATATTATCTGTCGTTTCATACAATTAAAAACTTGTATATTCCTAATGCAGAATATTATACTATAAAACTATTTAGTTCCGCAAGCTCAAGATATCAAATATTTATTAAAATGGAATTTAGCCAAAAAAAAGAAATCATATCAGATTGTTTTGGAATGCAAATAAAAACTTGCTATCGTATTTTGATAACATATATTTTTTCACGTAGTTTTTATCGCAAATACAAGAAATATTTAAATGAAACAGCGTCAGCTTCTCAAGGAAACATTTGCCTACTGCGTGTTCACTATATATAGCGTTTTCTGTAATCTGTGCACTGAATGACATTTTGAAGTACTTTTACTTCTCAGTGTGTCCACTGTACTTTTGCAATAAGCCGCAGATTAACCACACTATCGAACATTGACTGTATTCCTGTTGTCTGCTTTTCGATTTTTGATCACACACAAAGGGGCTTGATTGTCTGCGTTACTACGCATCCCTGAGATACTTTTCTTTTCGCGCGTCTGCACTTTTTCCTGCTCTTCCGTGCGATTTGGCCCATGAAACGGGATTCATCATCTGTTTCCAAATGGGCTTATGTCCGACTTTATTACCGATTTTATTACAATCTTTATACATATATATTTTCGCAAAAGGCGGACAAACAAAGCAGCTGAGAGAGCGAGATGCTGTCGCATTCGACAGAGAGAAAGAGAGAACGGCAATGTGAGATGAGTGGGAAAAATCGAATCAGAATCCAAGGGAGAGCGCGGCCGAAAAGGATGGCAGGATAAACGAGCTGGCGAAGCGGAGGCGGCAAAGGCAACAACACAGCAACGGCCACAAAAACATGTGCGCCGTGAATGAATTTTGGTATTTTGTTGCTATTTAGTTCGATTCTTATTTCACACACATATGTGGGCTTGTGGATGCTGCGGGCGGCGAGAGGGGGTGTGCGACCGAGAGGGGACGCGTGAGAGGATAGACAACGGACAGGCGGAAAAGAGAAATCACGTCCCTCATCATTGTATTCTTCTTCTTATTATTCCGTTTCTTCTTCTTCGTCCGCCCAGCCGCATGGCATATATATTTATTTATAACTTTTCATTTCATTTCTCTGCGCGTTTTTCTCGCCTCCTTCGCTTTGGCTGATTTTCGGCACTGCACTTTTCGCATTTCAAAAATAAACACGAATTTTTTCCGCTTTTCCAATCGCAAGCTACCCCTCCCCCGCGCTCGCTAATTCACTGCGTTTCTTGTTTTGTACCGTTCTCGGGTTTACTTTGTATTTATTCGATGCTGCTGAGGCGTGTGCGTGTGTGCGTTTGTTGTTTTCACTTTCAAGCGTGCCGAATTTCCACTGGGAAATCTACGAATTTACCGCTAATCCGACACCCACGACTTGTTGCGAAGAGCGAGAGAACGCAACTGTGATAACCGTTTTTCAGCGCCCGCCTCGCACTCGTTTTCGTCGCTCTCCACGGCTGGAAGGCGTTAGTGCCTTGCTCGCCATTGCGTCGCTGTTACGAGGCTGCCAGATGTGCTCTGTTGCCTAACACTGTGTTATCGATAGCAATGTATCGGAATGTTAGGCATTTTCGAAATTTTGAACACGAATCTTGATACAAAATAATTATGATTTAAATGCTCAAAGTAAACAGCTTTCAAGACGTTAAAAAATCATTTCTATGCCAAGATTACACTAAATAAACTTCAAATAGATAAAAAGAACTTCAACATTACTTAACAGAGATATTTTGAAAGCCTTTAATGAATTATTATAGACATCTTTTTGTGAATGCAGTGCCTTTAGTTAACATTAACTTTTTATATTTGAATATAGCCCATGTGAATTAATCCTCTTGGTTTTACTGCACTCCCTGTTTTTATTACTGAAAACGCGTGCAAGTACCAACCTTTAAGATCTTTCAACCCATTTCTGACCATCAAAAAGTCGCCTCCTGGCATTGTCTCAGTTCGTTCGTCACATTTTCCCCCATTTCCCACTTTCCGTTTTCCCGCTTTTCCACCCGTATATGTGACCATCACATGGGCTCAGCAAACAACGTCCGAGGTCCGGCAAATCAAAATTTGGACGGGGTGAAAATGGTGCTCCGTGTTTCCTTGGATGGCAAAGGAGGAATTCAGGATTTGGGGGATAGTCTGGTTGGTCCAGTAAAACCAAATCAAAAGTGTCAAGCCTCATTTTCGGTTGTCCGGAACAACGCTTGTCAAGATTGCATTAGCCCCATGTTGTTGGGCAAAAGTGGGTGACGGCAATTGTACCAGTAAAGCTGCACAGAAAAAAATCTTGGTCAACATGTTTCCAAGTTACGAAATAAACTTGCGCAGTGGCGAGAAGCGCTAAAAAAATTATAAATTTTCAATCTATCTTATCTGAGCATTTTCATATTTAGTTAGAAACAAATATATAGTTTTACCATTGCGAAACTAGCATAGCCATAGGAAATAGTGGGCGTGGCACCAGGGGAGGCTTATTAACGCGACGGACAGCAGCAGCAGCAGCAGCAGCAGGCGTCAGTTTGAACGTGGAAAAGAGCAGGGAAAATCCGGAAAAGCGGGCACCACGACGCTGCTAAATTTGAAATGCAAATGGGTGGCACACACAACAGTGTGAAAGAGAACGCCGCTGGCTGGCCGAAAGAGATAGTCAGCGTCATGGAAAGTGGGAAAATTTTCTGCACATGATACTGACCACCCACTTTTTGGATTTTTCCGCCCGCCACCCGCATAAATGCAAAAGTCCCCACGCTGGCAACTTTTTAATCCCTTTTGGCCGGCAAATTGTCGCCAACACTGTGAAAAAAAAAACGTACATAAGCCGAGAAAAATTAGCAAAGGTGTCTCCGTTTCCCCTGTAATTTTTCCACGCTTTTCCACGCATTTTTCGGCTAAGCTGCTTGAGCCAAAGGCATTGGCAAACGGGACGAGGAAAATTGTGTGGTAACGATGAAGTACGCACATCAAACGATAAGTTATTAAGGTATCTTAAAGATGGAAAGGTAAATATTACATTTAATATGCTTAATGGAAATGCGATGAAGAATGATGCGATAAGAGGGAAAACTGGGCGACACTCACAGCATAGGTGACAAAATTTGAAAACGTATAAATATTTAATTCGTGCATGATTATAACAGCAATAAAATGATTAACGTACATAACATAGTATATAATATAAATTTCTTAAATTTTTACCTAACTTTTTTCTTAACTTTTGACTTAATGCCTAACTAATTAGAATTTAGCAGTGTTTAAATGATGGAAGTGCTCCATTAATTTCCTGGAACCATTTTCATCACGGAAAATCACATTTTGATACACTAAATGCCGCATTGAAGTTTACGCGCTGTTAATGCCTTAAGTTTCCGTTGGCCCGCAATTTGCAGTTAAGCGCGACTTGCGGAAAACCAAAGGAAAATGCCTTACTACTATTTTCCCATACCCCCCGCCCGCCCCCTCACTCCCCTGCTCCCACAGGAGCTGACCTGCCTCTGAGTTTGATATATGTAAAGAGGAAAAAGGGGAAATGCGGGCAACTAACCGCAAACAATAACAAACGATGGCCAAAAGCGAAACAGAAGCTGTTTCTGTTTCAGTTTGAGCATACATCCCTTTCCACCCCCCTCCCCCCCCCTTTAAGGGGGCGTAGGCTGGGGGGCGTGGCAGCTGCTGGGGGATCTGTCGGGGTGCCATTTACAAGGAGCACAGGATTTATGATGCCTGTTATCGCGCCCAGAACGCGAAGGACGCACAGCAGGCGAAAACGATGACAAAAGGTGCCCATCAGAGGGGGAAAACTCCAGGGTGGAGGGGGGTGGGGGGTGGGAGAACTTCAGGGGAGTGCCAGTTGCAAGGGGGTGGGCTCGGAAAATTCAGCAATGGCGTGGAAAGCAGATAGAATCTGGCACGCACAAAATAAAATATGCTCAGCGAAACAAAGCATACTTTTTTGGGTCATATGAATAAATGCAGATGGGTCAAGAAATAAATAAATAAATGCGTGCAGATGGCTTTGAATTAAATGTGAATTTTTTCATATCTAAATATATCTGAATAAAATTTAAATAATTAAAATAGCTAAACATATATGATACCATATAAGAAATATATAAATAAACATTTTTTGAAACTACGTCGCTTATTTTTATAGCCATTTTCTATATTTCTATACTTTATTCTTAGTTTAAAATTTGTTTAAAATTATTTGAGTATATAAGCCCAGTTTTTTTGCCACTGGTTAAGTGGAGTCTGCAAGTGTTGAACCGAGCATTTAATGGCTCAAAGGGGGGATGAGTTGGAGCGGCCTGATAAAGGGTTGTTCTTGGTTTTCCGGGGGCAGCCATAAACACATGTGCGCACTTGTAGCGCAAATTGAAAAGCCTCGGGTGAGATTTTCACCGCGCCCCAATTAATTGGGCATTTTATGAGGTTATTTATCAGGGCGCAAAGTCAGCGCTCCTGTGACCTTGAGTGCTGCCATCAAATCTGCATTAATTAAATGAAATTCCGTTGCCCAACAAAAAGTAGCGATGGCGTCTAATTAAAAAGCCAGCAGCCGTTTGCCCATTTAGCAGTGGCTAAAAGTATCTATTACTGCCTGCTAGTCGAGCTCTTACCGCACCATCCTCCTAAATTAGTCAATAAATTAAAGCAGCCAAAATGCTGCTGCTTTCGCTCGCTCTTCTTCCCAGCGAGCCAAAAACCATTGCATTAAAAAAACCATTCATTAAAATGGCGAAATGTGGCGCTCAAATTTATGGCCCCAAATGGCAGGGCGACCTGTGCGTCTCAAGTGGCAAATGTATAAGCAGCAACAAGAAACAGAAGCAGCTTCTCCATTCCGAGTGGCTAAGATATTTAACCGGAGGTTCGCTGGAATTCCCATGGCTGCTTGGCTTTTCACCGCAGGAAAATGGGGAAAAACTAGCAGGTGAATGTGTTTGCTAGGGAGTATCTTTGTTAACCTTTTTGCTTATAAGCAATACCAATTTTTACTTTGCTGAGCTGGTAATTAACCTGTGGTTAAATAGTTTTTGATGTTTTTTCAGTAATATAAATTTTTTATAAACGTGCATCATGAATAGACCCTAGAACCTCTGTTGAGCCGCATAATGCACTGGCATAAGTTCATCCAGCTGGTCTTATACCCTTCAACTTTTAACCTTCGGTTAACTCTTTTCCACAGCTTGTTAGTTTCGAAACAATGGGTATTTTGCTTGCAGCTAGTTGTTTTCGAAACAATGGGTATTTTGCTTGCAGCATTTTACGTTGCGGATTTTCCACCGCATTTGGTTGGGGATCCTGGAGCTTTGGGGCCCACAGTTCAATGTGCTCGCCATGCACTCAATTATAATTTGCGAGCGACTCGCAGACAGAAGGACCGCCCATGGGACGGCGATGACGCGTCATCAGGCCATTAGCAGAGAGCAACTCAGACATATGTTGGGGCAGCCAAAGGGGGGCTAGAATGGGGCAGGAGGTACACTACAAAAATATTCCAAAAATATTCCAGCGTAAGTAGAAATAAAGGCACAAATGCATAAGAAAATGTAGAACCTTATTTACAGACAAAGACATTTCGTTTGTAACAAAAATCATCTCTTAAATCAACTTTTAAAAATAAGATTTTATACTGTTGTAAGAAACATAGGAATTTAAATATAAATAATGTTGCTACAGGTTCTATTCTTAAGTAATTATTTCTCAAAAGTATACCAATCAATTGAATATAAATAGTGTAAATAAAGATTATATTCCAAACTAACTATTTCTCAAAAGTATACCAATCAATTGAATATAAATAATATAGATAAAATTGTACTACTACTCTCAACTTATACTAACTATTTCTCAAAAGCATACCAATCAATTGAGTATAAATAATGTAGATAACGATTATATTCTAAACTAACTATTTCTCAAAGTATACCAATATATTTGCATAACTTTCAGTAGCAAAAATGATCCGATTAAGAGTCAGAATTAGACAGAATTAACTGGTGATATCTGCGCTTTTTTCGGTGCAGCATAAAGCCAAAATGTATGCACGAATTTGAGGAATGATAAAAGCCCTTCGCAGGTCCTCGTTTGGGTTTGGTCCTTCGCATCTGCTGCTGGACTCCCACATCCTTTCGCCCAATTCCATTCATTTGATTCGCTGTCTTTGTGTGTGTACTCTTTTGGCTTTGCTTCGTTGCTGATTTGTGTAATATTTCTTGATTTTACTCGGGCAGATAATGCAGAAAAGGAGCTACAGTTTAACTTTCTGCCTGGAAACTATGTACAAGATGTGCAAATGGCTTCAACTATTTCCCATGCGATTCTATGTAAGTAAATACACAAAATTGCCTCCAACTATTTGCCAGGTATTAGCAATAAAAGTTAAGCCATTCGATTCATTGGTAAAATAAAAGAAAACCTCCATAAAACTGCAGCCACTAAAAGGCCTCCCTTAATGGATTTTCCACTTTATT